TGGTGATATTTGGGAAATATTCTTTTATAATATTCTCTAGTGTGGCTTCCATTCCTGTGGGGCATTCTTCTTCCCCTTCTGGGATACCTATAACTCATATGTTTGAATACTTCGCAAAGTCCCATAATTCTGTCAATGTGAATGTTCTGCTTTCTCTCTCTTCTTTTCTGCTTCTTTAACTATCCAAGTTATCTCAAGAGCTTTGTCCTCTACCTCTAAGGTTTTTAAATTTTTTTTTGAGACAGAGTCTCACTGTGGTTCCCTCGGTAGAATGCAATGGTATCACAGCTCACAGCAACCTCAAACTCTTGAGCTTAAGGGATTCTCTTGCCTCAGCCTCCCAAGTAGCTCGGACTACATGCACTCACCACAATGCCCAGCATTTTTTGTTGTCGTTGTTTGGCATGCGTGGGCAGGATTTGAACCTGCCAGCTCTGGTGTATGTGACTGGCGCACTAGCCACTGACCTACAGGCGCTGAGCCTACCTCTGAGATTCTTTCTTCTGCATGGTCTAATCTGTTCTTGATACTTTCTGTTGCATCTTTAAGTTCCTAATTGACTGTTTCAGTTCCTTTCCATATTCTTCATATCATTCATTTCTTATTTGATTCTGTTTTTGTATTTCCTTTTGGTTATTTTCCACTTTCTCAGTAATTTCCTTCATTGTTTTTTGGTTATTTTCTACTTTCTTAGCAATCCTTCATTGTTTTTATCATCTATATTTTAAATTCGCCTTCTGTCATTTCTAACATATCTTTATAGGTAGAATCCTCTGCACTAGCTACCTCATGGTCCTTTGTGGGGTTGCTCTGGACCTATTTGTCATGTTGCCAGGATTTTTCTGCTGATTTTTCCTCACGAGTGTTTTTTTTTTTTAATCTGTTTCCTTGCCCTAATTTTCCAAGAGGAAACCCTTCCTCTTGTTCTTTATGTTACTGTGCCTCTGGCCTAAGGTTTTGTTGAGTCCTTTTGTACAGGACCAAAAGGATGAGAAGATTGAAGAGCAAGAAGGAAAAAAAAAATTTGGAAAAAAGAAAAAGGAGGGGTTGAGTAAAAGGGAATATTAATCAAAAGAATAGAGGCACAGAAAGAGGGAGACCGGAGTAATAAAGGTGTACAGTAGGGTACTTTGACCCACACATTAAAAACTCCCAACATTTGGGGGTGCTATGTTGGGTGGTTCCCTTGAGTTCAGCAGCTCTTTGCCAGCTTGAGCAGACATAGTACCTCACATCCACCCAATAGAGAGAAAAGACAAAAATACTATAAACCAAACCCCCCAAAACAAACAGAAAACATTACATGATAAAATTGGGGGAAAAAACCAAGTAACAGGGGCAAAAGCACTAGCAAAAATGAAGGTCTTATTATTAAAGAAGGCAACAATGGAAAATGAAGAAAGAAATAAAAAAGTCTCTGGGAAAAATGTTGAAATTAAGAGAACAAAAAACAAGGGTGGCACCTGTGGCTCAAGGAGTAGGGTGCCGGCCCCATATGCCAGAGGTGGTAGGTTCAAACCTAGCCCTGGCCAAAGAAAAAAAACAAAGCAGTGAATATATCTTGCTGTATATTGTCTGGGCAACACATGATCCTCTGGGGTATGAGGTGCTAATCACACTGCTGATACCACTGTATGAGACAGAGACTGGAGGCCTCTGCTGACTTCTTTGCCCTCTACCCTCACAAAGTTCAGAGTCTGAATCTCTCCTTACCCTGCTTAAAAGACACTTTAAGTCTTTAACCTTGGCTAAGCAGAAGTTTTCCCAGGAAAGCATTTGTTGCTGGGATCTCTCCTGAAGTGGCTGTCTGCTTATCTGGTGCACCAAAAGTAGCCTTACTCTATGCCTCTGAGGGCCGAGGCTGCAAGGCAATCCTCTTACTGCCAAACACTGAAAGCTCCGCTCTTCTTTGGCATCTCAGTCCTGGCCTTTGGCATTGCTCACAGTCACTAGATCACTTGCCCAAGTTCTCCCAGCCCAAGCTTCACTCTGCAACCCTGAGGGCAGAGCCTGCAGGGACATTTCTCCCACAATGGCTGCGCAAGGCCTACAGCCAAACAGTGTTTAGCTCTGTTAGGGCCCAGTGGCAGTCCGGGGCCCAGTGGCAGTCCGGGACCCTGAACAATGCTTAAAGTCACCCGCACTCTCGCCCAAGTTTTCTCAAGGTAATTCAGCTGAGTGCCCAAGTCCAATAAAAGAAAACAGCCCCCAGGAAAGGCCTTCCCTGTCTGCAGTCTCACTGCTGCGGCAGCCTCAGACCGAATGCAGCCACTTTCCACTTCTCCAATGCTTTTGTCCTCCTGGGGTCCAGAAGTCTCACACTGTCTCACTGCATCCCTAAAGGGATGTTTCTGAGCAGAGCCCACAGCCAGAGATGGCCTGGAGTCTTCTCTCTCTGGTGTCACCACGCCTGGTTACAAAGAAGCTGCTACTCGGCCACCATCTTGCTCCCTTCCCTCAGGTGATTTATTTTCTTGCCTCAGCCTCTCGAGTAGGTGGGACCATATGTGCCCACCACAACACCTGGCTATTTTCAGAGGTGGGGTCTTGCTGTAGCTCAGGTTGGTCTCAAACCTGTGAGCTCAAGCAGTCCACGTGCCTTGGCCTCCCAGAGTCCTAGGATTATAGGTGTGAGCCACCACGCCAGGCCTCATACATTGTTCTTAACTGCATTCTTTTTCTCACTATGAATAGCTTAGAAATACACTCCGCTTTCTTTTGGGAAACGTGACTGATTTCAATCCAGAGACGGACTCCATCCCTGTTAAAAACATGTATGTCATAGACCAGTATATGCTACACTTACTGCAGGACTTAGCAAACAAGGTGAGTATGAATTAGTAAGCTTTTGGAAACTAGGATTTTCAGCACTATTGTATGTTAAAATTTTAGTTCATGTAAATAGAACAATACTTGCTAGAAATAGTAGCTATAACTCTTGAGAAAAGTTATATTCTGCACATTTTCAGGTTGGCCTTAGGTTTAAGTGTTACCTTTCTTAGGTTTTCAAAAGACTTAAGGAAATAGCTGATGGAAACAGTAGGCCCAGGCTTCCCTTTGACAAGAGTTTTCTCTTATTATGAGCTTTATTTCTCCAACAACAAAGAATAGAGTTATACTTTATTTATTGGTAGATATGCCCTTTATAATAAAGTATAGATAGAACTGAAAGGACTTCTTATGTGTCTTATACTTGCTCATTTATATGTAGGCACAAATAATTTGTATTTTCTCAAAATTA